TTATAAACAAAGTTTATTATTTATGCATTAAATATAGTGTATATTTTATCCTACGCTATTGCAATTTTTCAATGAAAAAATTTGTTTACGTATATATTTCAACACTGAATATGAATACATTTAGTTATAATTATTACAATTATTTAAATAATTTTTGTTTAAACAAATTAAAAAAAAATAATTTTTTTGTTAAATACAGATAAAATTAAGAAAAAATAGTACTTTAAAATTATAATTTTTGAAAAAACTAAATTGCAAATTGATAAATGTAATCTAATTGTTTAAAAATGAATAGAAAATAGTGTTAACTAAAAATTTACTGTGGTTCTTCTAATCAACCGATTTAAATTTTTCAAAAACCATTTGAAAGGTTGAGCGGTCTTCTATGTGAAAAAATGTTCAATTATCTAAATGCTTTATTTGAGGCTGTGCAACATTTTGAAAATTCGAACATTTCTTTTTCAAAAAACTATTTTGCGAAAACTATAGAACCGATGTTAATGAAATTTGGTGTGTTGTTTTATTAGATATACATTAAAGTATTTTTTTTACCAAAATTAGAATCCCCTCGGCGTATATAAAATATTTAAAAAAATTTATCCAAGAAACTTGATTATTTTGCCTTTTTTTCATCAATTATTTCTATTTTGCAACATCGGTAATAAGTTTAAACATTTTTAACTTACAGTATATTGTGCAAAATTCAATTCTAAAACTTTTTTCTATTCAATATTCTTCCAAAATTCATAGATTCCAAGAAATAAGTAAACAACTCAGATAAAATAGATTAAAATTTTTTAAACATTTTTGCAATTTTGAAAATGTTCCGGGCCTCGCCCAGATCTAGGGATCTACACTTTTATTATGTGAGTTGCACTGAAAGTAATCCAGTAAAAATTTGCTTGTCCCCTCTCACATCCATCTCAAAACATTTGTGTAGATATATTTTTATTCTGGCATTCATGTTTATCAAGATTTGGATTGAATACATTCTAAAATGATAAGTTATATTTGCATACAGATACGAATACATAACCACATATCCATACAAATGAAATAATTGCTTATAAATGTTAATTTATTCTTTCCTTCTGCTTCCTTGGCTGTATTTATCAATAGTGTCGGACTAGTTATGTTTAGGAATCCTAGAGAAAATTTGCTAATGAAATGTTTAATATTTTATTCGAAAAGACACTTTAGCTAT